TATATATATGTATGTTTATTTATTTATTTATTATATTTTTTTGCAGTGCGACCTCACTCTGAACAGCTATATTGGAATTCATGCGTTCTGTTACACCACTGTATATCAACATTCATCACAGTACTGTGCTGGTGAAAGTCACTTGCAGAATATAACAGACATGGTAGAAAAAAAGGCATATTTAAAAGTTTGTCTCTCTTTCGTCTTGTCCTCATTTTCATCTGCTCATGAATTCACTGGTTTCCACTACACATCAACTTACAAATGAAACCGTAGACACTGACTTAAGTGGCCTCCATGTGTACTTCAATACAACAGTGTGCTGTTTTGTAACATCTTTCAGTCAGTTCAGGACTGTGACCAGGACTGTGTTGTAGGTGTAGAAACACCCACTTCTTGTAGAAATGCTTCATTTCCTTAAGATCCTCGTGCCATGCTCATGCTCCTGTGCTTCAAGTGTAAGATGAAAAGACAACGACCAAAAGCAGTGTTGTAGTGTTTCAGTGTTTTTCAGTTTCAAAGTTGTTTAGTAAATCAGACACTGATGGAGCAGTGCTTTGCTGTACCTCTTTTTTTCTATCAAAAGAAATGTGTGCTGGTCAAAGGGGACTTAGCTAAAAGTATTTCAAAGGGGGTACATAATTGAAAAGAGTTCAAGGACCACTGATCTAAGGAATGTTTTTGCCTTCAGTCCTTTGTTCTCCTGTATTGCTTGTTTTTTGAAATGATGACCACATGACCACTCTTACACATCAAGATAATAAATTAATATAATGCTAGAAAAGTTTAGATCTTACTAATCCAGGTGTGACTTCTGGTCATGAGGGGGAGAAGATGGCAGCTCAAGTGTTTAGCTTCCTCTAAATCTCGGCCTAAAAATGCAACAAACAAACAAAAAAGCAGAAAATAAGAAAAACTGAGGGGACTGAGGAAAGAATAAAAAAGCAATTTTTGAAAAAAGACTGAGGGGAGATTGGAATATCTTGAAAATAAATCAAGCCATAACAACATCATGATCTACAATATCGAAGAAAACAATAATTCTGTTAATGTGATACAATTAGAGGATTTGCTGATGCAGAGATCCTGGATATTCCAAGGGAGAATCTCAATGTGACAGAAATACTGAATAAGCCCTGCAGTGAGTTTTCCCACTGTGGAGATGGGGCAGCAAGTTTAAAAAACTGTGTAGGCGAGGAGGAAACTTGCATGTCATGCAGAGTGAATCTATTTCAAGACTTTAGACCATGTTGCAAAGTTGCAAAAAGGTTTCAGGAATATCTGGAATCACCTAAAGGAGAAGGGGATCAGACCGCAGACTAAATACCTAGCAGAACCCTGGGTGATGATTGAGGATAAAGGTCAAAGGCTGAACAGGCATATGGAATCATGTCAACAGACCCTAAAGCAGACGACCCAGGGGAGATGGAAGAGACCACAGCGCCTGGGATGGAAAAAGGTGAAGCCCTGTGCTTCCCCTGGAAATAGCCCAAAATACACGATCCTCTGATCAAGCCTCATCCAAAGCCTAATACAAAAAGGGTTTAGCCACTCAGTGAATGATTGGTGATAGGTGGGAGGTGGAATTTAAAGGAATGTTTTTTTTCCCCCTCCTGTTAGCCCCCTTTATTAAAATGTGCTGACTTTTCTTTTTTATACGTTCTCTCCTCCAGTGTTAAAGTTTGATATAGAAGGGTGTTGAAGGGAATTATGCAGCAGTCTCACAACATTTTGGTAGAATTATACAATTTTGGTTACATGTGAAAAGTAGGATGAAAGAGGCTGAGGGCAGGGAGAGGAATACTTTCATTTAAAAAAAAACAGGTTATTGAAAGGATTCTTTTTTGCTTCTGTTCTGCTTTATCTTATCATTGTATTATTTTTATTTTTTCCCCTTTCTTCTGTGTTTGGAGAAATAGACACTGGCAATAGGCACTGTCATGAATAGCTAGAAGAGCTATCCTGATTCAAATATTACAGTTAACAAAACTGTAAAAGACAAATATGGGAGATGTAGAGAATAAACCAGTGTTCCTTCTTAATATTTATAGCCCATCAAAACTTTATGGTTGTCTCTACTGGTTACAGAGGTGAGGGGAATAACCATCATGGGAAGGGACTTTAATATGATCACAAATGCAAAAGACACACAAAGCAAAAAGAAACATAAAACGGCAGCAGTTTTAAGGAAGGCGGAGACAGAAATAGGAGTGGGTGGACTTTTAGCGAATCTTAAATCCACAAGGTCTGAAGCACATAACATAACAAGAGTACAGATGTGAAATTGACACAATATGTCTGGAGGTCATGCTCCAATAATATTAACAGTACAACTGGAAACAGAAAGAGGGAAAAATCACAGAGATTAAATAATTCCTTGTTTGAAGATAAGGAATGTAGATATAAAGTCCATTGGGAGGCCACCTCAGCTCTACGACAATGAAGAAGTTACACCTGGGGTGTCGGTGGCTTAGTGGACAGAGCAGGCATCCCATGTACAAGGCTGTTGCCGCAGCCCGGGTTCGACTGCAGTCTGTGGCCCTTTGCTGCATGTCATTCCCTCTCTCTCTCTCCCCCCTTCACCCTTAGCTTTCCTATCAATTAAAGGCAAAAATGCCCCCCAAAATATCTTAAAATAAAAAAAGAAGAGGTGACACCTATTGTATGATGGGAAGTAGAGAGATAATATCATATGCAACCTGGGAAGAAAAAAATGCTCAAAAAGAAACAAATGTAATAGAAGGAGAGGTATAAAGATTACAATGTATGCAGGACAATCCAGGACACATATATTAGAGAGCAAAAAAAAAAAAAAAGCAAAATAATTTTCATACATTGTGAACAGATGAAACAGAAAAGCCTCTTGCCTTTACCCGAGTAATACAAATATTATGACAACAGCCAAAAGGCAGTAAAGCCTCTGGTATTTAAGATATAAAAAAGCAAAAGAAACAAGCCATCATTTCTAAACTGAAAGGGGGAAACTCTGATTACCACTGAAAAATCAAAAATTGCAAGATGTTTTCTATAGATAGATAGATACATGTAGATATTACCAAAAACTTTATAGGGAAACAAACTGAAAGTAACAACAAAGTAAACCATACCTTAAATACCTTACCTTTCTAATTTCCTTCAGTTTTGATTTGTTTGTCACTGATTTGTATCAGCTTTGTCCTTGGAGTTTTAATTGTGACAAGTGTAGTTTAATGCAGTCCCACAGACAGGTTAAGACTAATCCTAGATTACAGTGCTTGTTTTAGGGTGTCCCAGTGGCTCACCAGTTGGTGGCAATCCAGGGATGTTTACTATGTAGCAGCACATAAATGCCATGTGATTTCATTATTTAAATGTCATGTGGGGATCATCTTTATAAAAACATCCATCTGTTTCCATGTCATAAAAACAAGACTTAAGGCTTTTGTGTTGAAATGACATGCTATCAAACCAATTCTGTCCAATAAGAGTGTTAAGACTGCTCACTACACTCACTCGAAAAGCCATCTGTTTTTTCAAGTGCCATGCACACTTTTTCTCGAAAGCTTACACCTGCAGAGGGAGCATGAAATAGGCAGGTAGTCTCCTGTAGAGTTGTTCCTGAACCTGCGGTGACTGTAGACTATGCAGTAATAGACACCTGCTCAAAGTAAGTGGAATTTAATAAAAACAGCACAGCACTGTATAAACCAGGATAAGTGCAGCACATGCCTCGCGTTCACAGTAAGGTGAATTAGAAAATACATGAGGTGTAATCCTAATTTAATCTGAGGGAATTTACTGGAGCTGCAACAAATTATTATTTTCCTAGTTGGTTGATGTGACATTTAGGGTTTTTTTTAGATCAATTTATCCATCATTATGTGCATGAAATGTCAACAAATGTCCATCATAAGTTTCCAGAGCCCAATGTGATGTCCTCAGATGTCTTGTTTTTTTCTAACCAACAGTGCAAAACCCAATAATAAAACTGGTTACTAGTTATTAGTACGTACTAGTTTAAGACATTAATATTAAAGTAATTTTAAAGTGCACAAAGCCATTTCATACTCAGATATTAAGAATTGTTGTAGTGTATGAACTTAAATTCTACACTGTATTTAAAATGTCTCTAAGCCACTACTTCATGTCCTCCCTCTGTACTTCAGAGTCTTTGCCAGATCTCGTCACAGCTGTGAAGATCTTGACAGGCTCTACAGTTGAGATCGCCGCAGCTTCCGTGGGAGAGACCACTCTGGTAAAAGCTGTCCAGAAAATAGAGGACGATGGAAAAGGTTTGGACTTCACACTGGAGGTGGTAGAGCCAGAGGTCCTGGAGGTAACCACAGAGGTGGGAGCTAAAGAAGCAGCAGGTGATGAGGCAGCTGATGAAGTAAATGAGGAGGGGCTGAAGTCTGCAGAGCCTGATGTGGAATCTCCCGCTGCTGAAAAGCTTGCTGAAGATGAAACATCTGCTTCTGTTGCAGCAGATGAGGAGGCAGCCTCTTTTCTGTCTGAGGAACCTACAACCTCAGCCCCAACAGTGGAGGAGGTGGGTGAGGTTGAGTCTGAAGATCAGGCTGCGGTCCCTGAAGCTGTATCAGAGGAGGCTGTCTCTACAGAGGCCTCACCTGAAAATGCTGCTTTTGCCGAGGACACTACACCAGCTGCCTCAGTGGATGTGACGACACCTGCTGCTGAGACATCAGTGGAGGAGGCAACAGTTGAAGCATCAGCAGAGGAAACAGTTGAAGCCGAGGCAACGCACAGTGCAGCAGCAACAATTGTGGACTCAACTCAGCTGGCAGCAGCCTCCTCTGGGTCAGACCTAGAGGTCCTTTCAGCTGCGGAACCAGAATCTACATCAGAGGCTCCAGTACATGAGGTCAAGCAATGCCACTCCTGCCACTCTGCTCCACTCGCAGCAGAGGACGTGGCGCCACCTGCTGCTTTGGGAGGGCAGCTGGCCAGTGAGGAAGCTGTGGATATAACATATGAGGTCAAGGAAGCAGTGTCACTGGTGGAAGGACAAAGTAAGAACACACTGTATGAACTGCCAGTCACAAGTATTTGAACACCCAATGACCTGCCCACTTTAGCTTTACCCACAATGCTGCATAATAGCTCAACTTGTTGCTCTCTTGTTTTGATAAATGTAGATCAAGGAAATAGTGGTGGAGTAGATGATAGAGTAAGACCTGCCCAAAAACAGTGCTCCAGGGATGATGTTTTTCTTTAGGCCAACACAGAAGTTAACGTCGCCCTGGTTCCCTCGTCAGAAAGTTAATAAGTAGAGTAAATTTTGGATTATTGCAAAAAAAACAACTCTGTAGCAAACAAACATTTATGATACATTTGCTTTTCACTTTTATGATTTTCGAAGCCCAAATGCATTCACCAGAATAATTGTAATAATAATAATAATAATATTCTTATTTGTATAGCACTTATCCAAAAACGGTTAAAAAGTAAATGGACCTGCATTTGTATAGCGCCTTTCTTTTCATCCGACCACTCAAAGCACTTTTTTACACTACAAGTCACATTCACCCATTCACACACTGGTGGCCGAGGCTACCCTACAAGGTGCCACCTGCTACTCAGTTGGTTTTTTTTAAACACACTCACACAGCTTGGAGGTCAGTATCTTGCTCAAGGATACTTCGACATGTAGGGGGGATGCGGGGGATTGAACCGCTGATTTTCTGATTGGTGGACGACCCACTCTACCTCTGAGCCACAGCCGCTTCACAAAGTGCATGACAATAAGATAACATTAACATTACAATATTTAAAAAAAAAAGAAGAAGAAGAACAAAAAACAAAAAAGAACAAAAGGAAATAAAACACATAAGTTACAAATCAGGCATTCAAAGGGAAAGCTTTCCTATAAAACCATGTTTTAAGCAATGATTTAAAAAAGGGTAATGTGCTAGCGAGCCTAATCTCCTCAGGCAGAGAATTCCAGAGCCTCGGGGCCTTGATGAGAAAAGCCTGGTGACCTTTAGCTACCAACCTTGACCTAGGGACGACTAGTGAGGGTAGGCTTGAGGATCTCAAGTCATGATGTGGAGCAATGGTAGTCAGAAGCTCAGCTATATAACTGATGATTAATTCTTTAATTAATATTTTAGAGTTGCTACAGGACCCTCTGCCCACCTCTGCCAAAATCAGTGTGGAGGTGGGCAATCAGACATCGGCTTTCAACCGTGCAGCGAACAGCCCACATCAATAAACCTACAGTAATGAACATGCATCATATGAAGAATTGTAAAACACGTCTGCATGTTTCTTCTGCTATTTTGAGTCTTGAGAAGAATAGAAAATGAAGTGACATGTTACAAAATAAAACACTGTCAGTACAGAGAGGTACACTTAAAGGACCTTTATCAGTGAATGCTGCTAGATTTCTACAACCCCTATTCCAAAAAAGTTAGGACACTATGTAAAATATAACCAAAAATAGAATGCAATGATTTGCAAATCCTTTTCAACCTGTATTCAATTGAATACAATACAAAGACAAGATATTTAATGTTCAAACTAATGAACTTTATTGTGTTTTGTAAATATACATACACACTTTGATGCCTGCTGAAATACCAACACTTAATGGCCGTGAGCTTCAACCTCACAAGTGGCACTGCACTGAAAACCGACATGATTGTATAAAGGATACTACTACATGGGCTCAGGAACACTTTGGAAAACCACTGTTAGTAAACACAGTTCGTCATTGCATCTACACTGAACAAAAATATAAACGCAACACTTTTGTTTTTGCTCCCATTTTTCATGAGCTGAACTCAACTCAAAGATCTAAAACATTTTCTATATACACAAAAGACCATTTCTCACAAATATTGTTCACAAATCTGTCTAAATCTGTGTTAGTGAGCACTTCTCCTTTGCCAAGATAATCCATCCCACCTCACAGATGTGGCATATCAAGATACTGATTAGACAGCATGAATATTGCACAGGTGTGCCTTAGGCTGGCCACAAATCACACGATCCAGGCACAGCTACGATGCCAGTTAATCTGCAAGACAGTGGAGCATAAAGGCTCTGGAGAAGAAGCCAAGTTAGTGACATGCAGTAGAGCCAAGTTAGCGTGATTCAGTAACAGGACATGAGTGTTAGCAAAGGAGAGAGAGAGATAGATAGAAGGTGCTTGGTGTATTATAGGAGGTGTATTATAACTAACTAGGGGCTGGTCGAAGGCAAGCCTGAGCCAGCCCTAACTATATGCTTTATCAAAAAAGAAAGTCTTAAGTCTAGTCTTAAATGTGGAGACGGTGTCTGCCTCCCAGACCTAAACAGGAAGATGATTCCACAGAAGAGGAGCCTGAAAGCTGAAGGATATGGCTCCTGATCTACTTTTAGAGACTTTAGGGACCACAAGTAACCATGAATTCTCAGAGCACAGTGTTCTAGTGGGATAATATGGCACTATGAGCTCTCTAAGATATGACAGAGCCTGACCATTTCAAGCTTTGTAAGTTAGGAGTCGGATTTTCAATTCAATTCTAGATTTTACAGGGAGCCAGTGCAGAGAAGCTAAAACAGGAGAAATGTGATCTTGTTTCTTAGTTCCTGTTAGTACACGTGCCACTGTGTTCTGGGTTAGCTGGAGAGTTTTTAAAGATTTATTAAAGCTACCTGATAATACGGAGTTACAGTAATCCAGCCTAGTGGTAACAAAAGCGTGGACCAATTTTTCTGCATCTTCTCAGGTCAGGATAGGCCTAATTTTCGCAATATTATGCAGATGAAAAAACACAGTCCGTGAGGTTTGTTTTATATGGGAGTTAAAAGACAAATCTTGGTCAAATGTTACTCAGAGGTTTCTTACGGTAGTGCTAGAGGCCAGAGCAATGCCATCCAGAGAAACTATGTCATCAGGGAAAGAGTCTCTGAGGTGTTTGGTGTCAAGAACAACAACTTCAGTTTTTTCTGAATTTAACATCAGGAAATTGGAGCAGGTTTTTGTGTCTTTAAAGCATTTTTGAAGTTTAGATAATTGATCCGTTTCTTCTGGCTTTATCGATAAATACAATTGAGTATCATCTGCATAGCAATGGAAATTTACAGAGTGATTTCTAATAATGTTACCTAAGAGAAGCATATATAAAGTGAACAGAATTGGTCCGAGTACAGAACCTTGTGGAACTCCAAAACAAACTTTAGTACATAGAGATGATTCATCATGAACATGAACCAACTGAAAACGAGCAGATAAATAAGATTTAAACCAGCTTAGTGCTGAACATTTTAGGCCAATTAAATGTTCCAGTCTCTGTAGCAGAATTTGATGGTCAATTGTGTCAAATCTCGCACTAAGATCTAATAAAACAAGTACAGAGATGAGTCCTTTGTCTGAAGCAATCAGAAGATCATTTGTAATTTTAACTAGTGCTGTCTCAGTACTATGATGCACTCTAAATCCTGTCTGAAATTCCTCAAATAAATTATTATCTCGGAGAATCACACAGCTGGTCTGCGACTACTTTCTCAAGGATCTTTGAAAGAAAGGGAAGATTAGAAATTGGTCTATAGTTGGCTAACACCTCTGGATCCAGGGTGGGCTTTTTTAGAAGAGGTTTAATTACAGCTGCCTTAAAGGACTGTGGTACATAGCCTGTTAATAAAGATATACTGATCATGTCTAATATGTGAGTGTTAACTAAAGGTAAGGTTCCTTAAGCAGCCTAGTTAGGATGGGGTCTAAGAGACACGTTGATGATTTAGATGAAGAAATCATTGAGACCAATTGAAAAGAAACCTTGGGTTGTTCTTATTCTCTTCTATTAATGCTGAGTAATAGTTTGCTCTGGCATTGCGGAGGGTCCTCTTATACGTTTTGAGACTGTCTTCCCAGACTAAACGAGACTCCATCCAGATGATGTCTTTTTCAGGGATGTCCCTGCTAATGCCATCAAGACAATGAGACACATTCTGCAAGTGTTAGAACAGCATGGCTTCATAGTAAAAGAGTGCAGGTACAAGACTGACCTGTCTGCAGTCCAGACTTGTCTCCTATTGAAAATGCATAAAAACAGAGACCCCGGACTGTTGAGCAACTGGAGTTATATATCAAGCAAGAATGGGAAAGAATGTCACTTTCAAAACCTCAACAGTAAGTGTCCTCAGAGTGTTGTTAAAAGAAAAGGTGATGTAACACAATGGTAAACATGCCCCTGTCTCAAATGTATTGGTACGTGTTGCAGGCATCAAATTCAGAATTAGTGTATATTTATCAAAAAACAAAGTTTATGAGTTTGAACATCAAATATCTTGTCTTTGTACTGTGTTCAAATAATTATAGGTTTGCAAATAATTGCATTCTGTTTTTATTTCCATTTTACTCAGTGCCCCAACTTTTTTGGAATGGGGGTTGTAGATTTGAAGAAATCTTAACTGTTGAGCAACACATTAACATGACACAATAAAGAACATAATCTGGCTAAATTTACTGCTGCTCAATTTAACCATACAAAAAAACAAAAAAAAAATCCCAATATAATATGAGTCTTCCCTTTATTTGGCTCTGACCACATGTATTTCTGCCTATATCCACAGAGCCAAAGGTGTCTGTCTGGACTGTAAAAAGCTGCTCAGTGATGTAATAGTACAGTTAAGAAGGTAAACAGTCAAAACAAGCAGAGCTAAAAGCACACCTATTTGTGTAGAGTTAGAGACAGTAGAATGGACATCTTATTCTCAGATAGCCACATTTTATATACTCTAGTATATAAGGCCATGTTGACACTGTTATTATTATTATTTTTCTTTGCTCTCTATTAAAACCCTGCTGCCCATGTCCATTCTACTTATTTCAACTAGGATATGTCAATTCAATTTTCAATTTTATTTATAAAGCCCAATATCACAAATCACAATTTGCCTCACAGGGCTTTACAGCATACGACATCCCTCTGTCCTTAAGACCCTCACAGCGGATAAGGAAAAACTCCCCAAAAAAAAACCCTTTTACGGGGAAAAAAAACGGTAGAAACCTCAGGAAAATATGTATGTTGCAAAATGACACGTACACAAAGCTTGTGTATTTCTACCAAACAAACTTGTGTTGTGCTTGTTTGTTTCAGCCACAGAGACTATGGTTGCGATGACGACCCAGTCATGACATGACAGACAGTGTGCCTTCCACAACACTTACTTATCTGTCAACCAAGCCAGAACGACCAAGGAAAACAACATGAGGAAGGAGCAACTGGTTTCACTAGATAATGTGTTCTTTTTTGAAATGTTATAACAGAGATGTTGTTTTTTTATGTTTCCAATCTGTTCCTGCTCAAATTATATTAGTATTTGAGAAATGATTGCCATTATGTCTCTTGTCCTCTAGGTGCCACTGTTGCAAAGCTTTTCATGACTAGTTGAATGGAACGCAAGTTTCTTTGTAGCTGTTTCTGTTGTATTAGGCAGTGGTGGGAGGGGTTTGTTGTTCATGCTGTGATAGACTGATTTTCATAGATATTGCCGAACAATATCTATAAACAGTACCAAGATTTTTAAGTGTGAATTCACCCATTTGTTTCCTTCAAACTGATGAAGTCATTTTCCCACTTATGTCGGCTGATATTATAGTATAAAGATTTGTATTTTTGTCACTTTTGTCATAGAATATAGACTATCTTGAGGCATTTAAGTGTTTTAAGACCATTACACTTGTGCTGCTAATTTTAAAGGGATGCATTAGTTTCAAGGGGTCGAGAATATCTTTATTATCCCAAGGGGGTAATTTGTTGCGTAGTCAGTATTATGAACATAGCCAACCAAGAAAAAAAATTAATATATAAAAAAAATTAAAAGAAAACATATTGGTAAAATAAATACAACACCAATGCTGATATTTGTTTTTGAAAGCTGATTTCAATTGATGTCAATAGTAAATCCATATGTTGGTGAATATCTATTATATATTTTGTTGTGTTACCACTGTCTGTGTTTTACCTTCTACAGCAAAAGACTGAAAAAAAAAACAAAAAACCATTTACTGGTAATATGAACTGATTTGTACTTAGACATTATATTCAACACTAATGTGACAATATATCTAAGAGTTGATGGATTATTTGCTTTAAAGATATTTGTAGGTACTTTGCATACACTCATCACATACATACATACATCATATATTAACTAAATATATATCAATATATTACATAGTTAATATAAATCAATATATTACATAGTTAATATATCACTTTGTAATTAGTCAACTGTGTCCCTGTTGTCATGATAATGTGCTCTCTTAGATACTTTAAATAAAGTGATGTGTTAAAAATTATTGGTGTGTGAAACAGTATTATTAAAGGGGAACTATGCCCATTTTAAATTCATACATGTTATTCCTGTGGTCTATGACAGCTGAAGAAATGTTAGTAAACAGGAACAACTCTCTCCGAAATCCGAAAACTAGAGTGCTTAAACTCAAATCTATGTCATAGGGTATAAAGTCTGGAGCTGCTCCATAAATAATGAACTGGGGAAAAATGTTGTAGATGACACAGAGAGCACCCAGGGGAATATTCTGAGTATATGGGTACATTTTCTATTTTAGAACTGACAGCACCACAATAGAATAGGATCATTTGGGTATGAACAAGAAAACAAGCAGTATGTGGGTCCACAAAATCAGTGTCCAATTCATTGTCTATAGAGCAGCTCCAGAATATGACATCACAAGTGTGAGACTTACTTTGGTTTCTGGCTTTGAGAGAATGCTCCTCGTATTCACAAATATTGGTTGAACTGTCCTTGGCTGTGGAAATAACAAACTGGAATTCTTAACTTAGGTGGTGTTCCCCTGTAATTTTAATCTACATTGCAATGCACTGTGCTATGGTGAATGTCAGTGCCAGTGGCATTGTTAGGCCTGGGTGTCTGAGGCTTCAGCCCTAACTTTTTTTTTTTTCCCTAAGATTTTTTTTGGGCTTTTTTGCCTTTAATGGACAGGACAGTGTGAGGAGTGTGAAGTGGGGAGAGAGAGAGAGTGTGGGGATGACATGCAGCAAAGGGTTGCAGGCCGGGGTCGAGCTCACGACCACTGCAGCGAGGCATCACCTCCATGCATGGGGCGCCAACACTATCCACTAAACTACTGACACCCCCAACCCCAGACCTAAATAGCCCCGTGTCTAGTAATGTGTCATGTCGGTCATGCAATTAAAGCCCTCAAAAATTTTATTGTTAATCAAAGCGCAAGTTTTGGGTCCTCTGTGTCATTCAAGCAACACATTTTGTGTGATTGTGTGCAAGAGAGACAGAGAGAGAGCACACCAGTAATCACTTTAATTTTTCAGCTGGTAAAGGTGGAGCTCATTTTGAATGCTTAATATACTGCTGGGTAGTTTAATCTATAATTATACATAATCGTTTATTAGTTGATTATATTTTGTATTAATAATCTAAGTTTTCAAAGTAACTAAAGCAGACAAATAAATGTAGTGGAGTAAAAAGTACAATGTTTCCCTTTGAAATGTAGAGAGGAGTATAAGTATAAAGTACTATAACATGGAAATACCCAGGTACAAGCATCTCAAAATTTTTTAGCAACTTTAAATTTTAATGACAACAGATGCAAATTATTCTGTCTTTGCTCAATAATAATTACTAACAACTATGAATACGTTTAACATCACAATTCATGATTAAGCTGGAGCTTTTTTAAAATAAAATTTTAAAAAAAGTTTTAAAGTTAAATAAGATGCCAGAGTTCATAGAAAGAAAGAAAGAAAGAAAGAAAGAAAGAAAGAAAGAAGAAAAACAAGGTTGGGGCACTAACCACATTAATCAGCATTTACAATAACTTGTCCGAGGTAGAGATTTTTGGAATAATAGACTATGTGACCATCGTGACATCATCTCTGTTGTGCTAAGTTCCTAATAAAACAACACATTATTTATCCTTTAGAACTGATGTGACAGGGAAGGATTTAGGATTTTTCTTTTTTTTTTAACAAAACAAAGACAAACAAATTAAACTGAGATGGACGAGTTCTTCTGATGTAATTTGCTTGAACAAACTAACAATAAACTAACAACCGACTCTCCGTTAACAGAGGAGCAGCCTGTCCTGACTCATGACCAAGCTTTTGCTTCTTTACTCCTTTACTGTCCCACAGGAAAATACCAAGGGAATGGAAGCAAGAATACAAACAGTTAGGTAACGCCAGGGACTGTTTTTTTCACTTATCAGAGGAGGGAGATGGCTGGGGTGTAATTTAGTTGTTGTGGGGGGTTTTTTCAGATAATCTCCCCACCCAGTAGTTATATCATAACTATGGGAATTATCCCAATCTGGGCTAATCGATGTGGAAAATTAATGATCTTTATAACATACCACTTTACGTGGCTGGCATGCACCAGGCTATAAAAACCCCACCTTGCACATGTACCCACTGACCCATTGATTTCAACCTGTTGGAGTCGACGTGAGAGCAGAAAGAAAAGAGGGAGGAGTTTAGCCTTTTGTGTCCACTTACCTTGGTTAAGGTTGGAGAGCTGACCTTCCTGGGTCCCTCTCAGGGATAGCTAAATGCCGTTTCTTCCTTTTAAAATTAAAATACAGAATCTCCCTCCAGTATTAGTGTCCCGCTGTCCAGTGTCAAAGAAAATAATCCATATTGTGGCCACACTTACATCTGTTGGCTCAGGGAAACTAATTAAAGACAGTTAACAGCCCTATTGCTATAGCTAAAGAGTGCACTTTTTGGTCATGCAACAGTGACATCACTCTCTCAAAAAAGAAAAAAAAGGAGAGAGAGGGATGATGGCAAGGGCAGGGCCCTTCTTGTGGGGGCTGTAATGTTAATATGCCAGTAGAGGATGGCCATGACTACTGTGTGTTATGTTTGGGAATTAAGCATTGTGCTCATGATAATCCAGCTTCATGCACGAACTGCTTCTGCATGTCTGCTAGGCAAAGGGAAGCCCATTGCCATTCATTTGGCAGACGTCCACCAGCCCCTTCTCAGGGTCTGCAGCCAGCTAAGCGCCCTAAGTTGGTGGTCCGGCAGTGGGGGACGGGGGCCAATCAGGGTGCTGTGGCTCAGAGATAGAGCGGGTCGTCCACCAATCAGTGGTTCGATTCCCGGCTCCTCCAGTCTGCATGTCGAAGTATCCTTGAGCAAGCAAATTGCTCCTGATGGCTGTTCCATGTGTTTAAAAAAACAACCAAAAAACTGAGTAGCAGATGACACCTTGTATGGCCACCAGTGTATGAATGTGTGTGAATGGGTGAATGTGACTCGTAGTGTAAAAAAACGCTTTGAGTGGTCGGATGACTAGAAAGGTGCTACACAAATGCAAATGCAGGTCCCCCGCCTCCATTATTACAGTTTCAGTAGGGGGTGAGCGGACTGTGTCACACAGGAACTTCCCTGTTCCTGGGCCCTCTGCTGGGTTGGATAGGAGCCCCTTCTCCGTTTTGTCAGAGGAGGAGACAAACATTCTTGGCCTATGGCCCTAAAAGAATGATGAGTTAGCCTCAGAGGGGCAGCAGGTGCCTGTAAAAGAGCATGACCAGCAGTCACCTCTCCTTCAGGAAATTATTGGCCGGGCTGCTTTGGCTCTGGGGATTGACCTGCCAGCTGGTCAGGGTCCTGCCTCTTCTTATTTAAATGATGAAACAGGGGGTGACCCACACAGTTCCTTGTGCCTCTCCTTTCTGATTTCGAGGAGGTGGTCAGGAGTCAGTTTACTACGTCGATGGCAGGGGCATGCTGGTCGGGGCTCTGTAATCGTATGGCTGCGGTTGACAATCGGGGGAGGATAGGCTGTGGGTCATTGCTCCCCATGAATCAGGCTCTGGCTGCCTTGGTGGCTCTGTCAAAGTCCCTCCTGGGCAAGGCGAACTGCCCGGGTAGAAACTGCAAGGTAATAGATGGCTTGTTGGGAAAAATGCATGGAGCCATGGCAGTCCAGACACAGCTGTCAGCTGGTGCCATACTGTCCCTGTACCAGTGCAATCTGGTTGGCCAGCTAGAGGAGGGGTATAGTATGGATCTAATAGCCGAACTTCAGTGTGTCTCCTCACTTCTTCCAAAGCTCATGAGAGAGCAGCGTGAAGCGGCTGGCAGTGCTATGGCAAGTTTTTGGGTGGCCAGGCGCCATCTCTGGCTGTCACAGTCCATGCTGCAGCCAGAGGATAGGGAGTGTCTGCTCAACCTGCCTGTTGAGCCATTTGCCTTGTTTGGGCCCAATGCATGTATGATGATTCAGCAGGGCTAGGAAGCCTGTTGCTGTGCTAAGGAGGTGTCAGGCACCTTGAAGTGAGGTCAGGGCTGGCAGCGGCCTCAGCCACAGCAGCCCAAGCAACCTCAGCCTGCTTAGGGGCAGGAACATCTGCAGGGCCGGCTGGATGCAACACAGCAAGTCTCACTGGGGCAGAGGACATGGCAGTGGCCACCCAAACCCACGCCTCAGTCCTTACACGACATTGCCCCCAGCCTTCCCTTGCCCTCAGATAGCATGGGAGGCTCTGGAGACACCTCTGGGTCGTTTCAACAATGACCCAGGGGTATTGTTTGCAGTTCGGAAGCGCTCCTCCTCTGACAAGGGTGGCTGCATTTTCCATTATTGCAGACCACCAGCACAGAGAAGTCCTTTGATCAGAAATCTTCACTCTCATGGCGAAGACAGCTATCAGGGAAGTGAAGGAAGAAGATCAGCAGGCAGGGTTTTATTCCCGCTATTTTCTTGTTCCAAAGTGGGATGCCTAGGCCTGTCTTAGACCTCAGAGGGCTGAACATGTTCCACAGGGCCCTGAAGTGCAAAATGTTGAACGTGTCCAGGGTCAAGCAGGCTATCCAGGTGACTGGTTTGCAACTGTCGACTTCAAAGATGCCTATTTTCAAATCCCAATCTGGGAGGGGCACAGGAGGTTTCTCAGGTTTGCCTTCGAGGGAAAAACCTTCAAATTCTGTATCCTCCCCTTCAGCATCTCACTGGCACCCCGCACCTTTACCAGGAGCATGGATGCAGCCCTGGGGCCTCTGCGGCAGCAGGGTCTCAGGGTACTGAACTATTTTGATGACTGGCTAATATGTGCACAGAGGAGCTGTGCCACCATCATGTGTCTGTGCTGTTGGATCACATTCAGGGTCTGGGGCTGCGCATCAACAAGAAAAATTGCAGTCTCCAGCCTGCACAGGCCACCCAGTTTCTAGGCATGTGGCTGGATTCCAGAGCTTGGTTGGTGATGCTGTAACAGAAGACGCAGGTTTCAATCAGGACCTGCCTCTCTCATTTTCGGCTGGGTGCCAGGGTCACATGGTGGCTGTGTCT